CATACAAACTTTCAAGTGTTCATAAATTTTGTGAAACTTGCCATATACATTTTCATTAAGAAATCATTACAAGTTTCATACATTCATTGTGAACATTTATAATCATTGCTTGAGAATTGTTTCTATCTTGAAGAAGAAGATCAATTGAAGATTGATAGTGCTCTCCATCTCTTTCAAATAAATCATTGTATTACAAAAAGAAAGTATTCCCGTACTATCCAGGATTGTTGGAAGTAAGTGTTATGATTTGAAGAGGATTGTTCTTCATTCACATTAGTGTTTGTTTGATCTTAAAGGTGTTAAGAACCTTTGGTCACCCTATAGGTTAAATAGTAAGCATAGGCTGTACAATCATTCTAAACTATAGTGAAATCTCTTTCGTGTTGGAAAGGGGACTGGAGTACTCTCGGATTGTGAGGGGAACCAGGATATATCGTCGTGTTCTTCTTTACTTTTCCGCATTTATCGCTTTCATCACTATAATCAAGAAAAGATAAGATATAATGAAAACCTTCAAACACTTAACCAAAAATTACTACAAGTATTCTCATAAAACCGAATAAATTTTTATATGCCTAATTCACCCCCCCCCCCCCCCCCCTCTTAGGCACTCTTAGACTTACACCGGGGACATGTGGTTGATTGTCCCCCCAAGACCAACGGGACCATCGATGTCCTTCCCAGCTACTTATATCCATCAGTCGGGGACACGTTGTCAGTTGTCCCCCCCAGGATCAACGAGACCACAACTTCCCGCTCAAAGAGGCTAGTCCTCATCCTGCCAGCCACGCGAGGACAGTGATTTAGGAATAATAAGAAACACACTTGCATGTGAATAATTCTCTGCCCGTCGTAACAACTAGCATCTATGCCCGTTACGACTAATTCTTGGCATCCTTACGCCTGCCCACATCGGCCACCTCCAGGTCTGCTCGACACGCGTGAAGCAGACAACCAGGAAACATCCAAGACGCATTTTCCCACAGCGACAACTTCCTCCATGTCTGCCCGACACGAGTCAAGCAGACAACCAGGATCCAAAACGCATCTGCCCGTAATCCCTCTCTTGCTCAAAGCAACGACTAGTTACGGGCACGACTTCCCGTTTTGACTAAGTCCTAACAGTTATCTATTTTTACGGACCCGCATATATAGGCCTTAAAATATGGACCAATAGCCATGCGCCAGGGGCATTATATAAACCCTTACACATGTGAGGGATATGGATTCAATGTTCATCACATACTTCTAAAACCCTAGACTTTCTATCTTGTATCTCTTTATGCTCCTATTGACTTTAGCATCGAAGTGTCTTACAGGTACACACACTCCTCCTCGATTCCATCATTGAAGTCGAAGACTCTGGCCCACTTCAGGTTCTGGTCAACCGGTAAGATCAATTTGATATTAAGTGTTGTCATCATCAAAACTAAACAACTACGCATTTGACTTCCACCTTTGCTATCCACAAGATACACCATCTTAGATCATCTTAACTATATTTGCAAGTACATAGAATCACAGAAGTCCTAGGCTAGGTTGTAGGTCCTTAGTATTTTTATCCCTACCGACAACCATTTATGTTCCTGGATTCAGCCCGTTCAATTGGTTGTTTTAAACCAATTTTTAAAATACTAATAAGATATGTTTCGAGAAATAAAATTTATTTTCAAAAAATATTATAATTAAAGACGAAGAGATTACTTTACGATCGTCACATGCAAATATTATAATTAAAGACGAAGAGATTACTTTACGATCGTCACATGCTTTTCTTTTATGAGACTACATAGTATTTATTGTTTTAAATATTTCATTGGAGGTAAATATGTCATTTTTAGCTGTGCTTGAAAGCATGGTTCATCTGATCAAGCCTAATCACTTTATATATATATATATATATATATATATATATATATATATATATATATATATATATATATATATATATATATATATATATATATATATATATCCTATCTGCTATCACATAACCTTAGGGACTTAGTTAAGTTTGGTTACAATATAATCGTTGACAACCTTCAATCACGGCAAACATTATTATGCTCTCTTAATTAATATTTAATCTGCCCATCTGTTATAAACAAACAAATCACTTTAGCATATTTTATATTAAACCATGCGCTAGAGCAATGCGAAGAATCCTATACGATAATGGAGAATTAGATCAACTACTTTTCCTAGAAGGAGGGAAGAAAAATATCAATTGATGTGAGGGTTTGGACTTTTATTAGAGGGTGTTATTTTTCTGAGAGTAACTCACCAACCATTTTCAACGAAAATGACATTTCATTTGTTTAATACTATATTAGCTTTCATCCTAGCTGTCATTAACATTATTCAAATCTTGCATATATTGATTATGATTGAAAAAAGTAACACGTATATATTGGTGTCAACTCTATAGAAATTTCTAATTGCAATGTAAGAAGACCAAGTCATGAGGGAATGAATGGAGTAACTAGTGATTTTGCTTCAAAACCTTTTTTTTTAAACCTAACAATGTTTCATTTTCAATTTCACAACACTAACAATGTTTCAAATTAATCTCACACAATATCAGCAATGTAGTTTTTGAGAGAATGTGTAAGACGGTCAATAGTCTCACTATTTTTCATAATTAAATTATAGAAAATATATATATATATATATATATATATATATATATATATATATATATATATATATATATATATATATATATATATATATATATATATATATATATATATATATATATATTTCACAATTAATTTATGGTTAAATAAGATTTTTTTTTTTAAATTTATGACTGAAGTAAAGATAACTTTATCTTATTACAAAAAAAAAATAGACTCTCCATATAATTTGAAACGATTGTACTGATATCAGATTCTACTGATATCTAGATTTTACTGATATCGTAATATCGGACATCACCACATTCTAAAGTGCTCATATTTCATATTATATAACACACAAATAAAATATGATTACTAGCTAATAATACCACTTATGTGGTAAAAATAAACTTATAAGCTTATATTTAAAAAAATTATAAATAATTTCTACTTGTTTAAGTCCTTTGCATTCATCATGAGACTAATCCATGTTAGTTGTTTAGTCACAATTAACAAACTTTCTTTAAAAATGTGTTTAGTAAAAATCAAATTAGAATTATAAATTAATTTGCACGAATTTAAAATGCAGTTACATTTTTCAATTATCTTATATATAGATCAACAATTAAGTTAAAATCGTTTCACCGCATGAAATTGACATGGTAACCTAAATCTTTTAATCTCAAATTATAAAATTTTATATACTTTCTTTGAAATAATTTAAATACAGTTCTGCTATAAGTTTGTTTTTTATTTTATTTACATTAGTAGTTAAAGTTCCATGATCAAGTTTTTTATTAGCTAGGACACATGATGATATGTTCATTGAAAATGGCTGAGTTGGAACTATGTGGGGACTTATGCTGTTACTAATCATCATACCCTAAGAAGAAACCTATGAATTAGGTCCACCTGACACATGATTGCATCCTTATATTCCAGAACCTTCCTCCATCTTGCACAATCACCAAACAACACTTCTATCTGGCTCAAACTTAGTTGGCATCAATCAACTTTGTGTGTGTGTGGTGCCAGAAAGTTTTCAGACCCTTCAACTACCAAATGCACAATCATCACTTTAATTTGTTCCCATGTCAAATTTATATATATTCAGACCAACCAACATTGAATCTAGTAGAAAAACTAATCTTCATCATAGTAAACTAAGATTCAAATCTTAACTCGAATAAAATCATCTTCAGTAAAAAGAAACCAAAGACAAATTAAGAATTAGTGAGATAATTCAACAGATATATATTTAATGTTAATAAAATAAAATGAGTGTAAGTACTCTCAGTGGTTTTTGGATTTACTATCATGGTAAATATCCGTCAATATTACTTACGACACGATGAAGTAGACATGTTAGATATGATTTTAAATAGATATAAGTATTCTTAATAGTTTTTAGATTCATTATCATAGTAAATATCTGTCAATATTACTTACGATACGATGAAGTAGACATGTTAGATATAATTTTAAATAATAAATTTAAATTTGAATTATTTATTTTGATCAAACAATCATCAATCGTCAAAGGAGCCATGAAATAAAAAGTGTAAGATATATATTCTCTTTGTATTTTAAGAATATACCATTGTAAGAATGCTTATAATTGACAAAACAAGAAGACAAAGTCACATTGAAATGTGTAACTGACTCAACTTAAAACAAATGCTACAAGCATCATTTCTCCATTAGGCTCTCAAGTGGATAAAAGTATATTAGTCAATTTTATACTGCATCAATGATTACTTATTTATTTAAGCTAGTTTGGACAACTCAATTATTGATGCCCAAATAAGTACTTTTATATCTAACCACATTAAAACAACTGTAACAAACATGCTTCAATCAAGTTTAATCAATTTGAATATAGACAAGAGTAGTTGAATTCCATGATTACACTTCGGAACAATTCAATAAAAGAGGTTGTTTTGTCCAATTTATTCTTCAACACCACCAACTGTGAAAATTACTATTGTCTTCGATTATCAATCATTTTTAACCAATTGAATAAAAAAAGTAACAAACAAGTAATAATAGAGAAGCAAAAAATTTGAGCAAATTGTGTTCAAATCAAACTTCTAACAACAGCTTGAAAGTTATGTAATGCATAACTACAATGGTGACTCTAACTTGAAGCTAAAGATTTCTGTTTTCATTTCTTTTCAACTTTTTCCTTTGTTGCATTTTCTTCTATTTTCAACTATGTAGGACACAGACACTTCTAATTGAAGACATATCGTGTCTTCAACCCTGACACGACTCTAACACATGCGGCTTATATTCAACCGTTTAATTTTCTCAATTATTCACCAGTATTAACATGTCAGTGTCAATGTCATGTTCAGTGTCCGTGTCTGTGCAAATCCTTCAGGAACCGGATAGAGTAGAGAAGCAGCTTTCCGACCTAGCGAGTCCGGATCCATGAATTTCTCTACTACTCTTATTAACCGGACTATTTGGCGTGGACCTAACCAAACTCCTCCTAAGAATCTGTCTCATAGCTGAAATCAAATGAACAGCTGGATTTGGAGGAGGACCTGAAGTATTGAACTTTTTGCAAAAGTTCATGTGTTTTACCATTGCTTCTTCTGTGCTTACAAGTCTCTCTGACCTTACAATTTCATCTTTAACAGCTTCGCCGCATAATCCACAAACCCATTTTCCTTGATACCTTTCTCTGATTCTTTCTATGTATGCTGGTGTGCACTCTTCGGTTAGTCCACAGCATTCACATATTGCAAATTCAACTTCATTCTGTGCAACAACTAGATTGCTACTACCTGTTGATTGAGTTTCTGGTGCTGAAGTTGATATCATCATTGGATCACTTATCATTGTTGCAGACATTTTCAACCACCCTATATGAAGAAAAAAAATCAATTATCAAACAAGTTAGCATCAAATAAAGATGAATAGAGAACCCGGAAGTAAATCCGGCTTCAAATCATTTTTGACCCGACTTAATTATCTTCTGAACAAAAGATAAGTAAATTCGGATAAAAAATATTCTAAACTTCATCACAGAATTTAGCCGAAAGTTTCGGCTAAACTCTATGCTATTTCTGTATAATATTGATTATATATAAAAAATTTAAAGATAAAATTATGAGTTGAATACATAAGAAAAAAACTGAACATGAAATTTGATAAAAATTACCAGGAGAAGCAGATGAAAACAAAATCAAATTTGGATTAATAATCGTTCTCTACTTCTGCTTATTGGGTTATATAAACTTCTCTTTCTTATCGTTCTTTCTCCCACTCACCTTCTTCTTCAATTTTTTCTTCTTTTATGCACAAAATCTCAGGCATGAAAACCATTTCAAAAAAATAAAAATAAAACTTTAGCAACTCAGAAAAAAACCCTTTATAGCTTTCTTCTATCTCTTTACAATAAACCACAAAGTTTGTATTTGTTGTTTGTATGAAAGAAAAGATAGCTTTGAAGGAACAGAAACTTTGTAAGAAGAAACAAAGAGATTGTTTTTTTGTTTCTCCACCACAATTGTGCACTCAACTATATACCAAAAGATAGGGAATATAGAATTGTAGAGAGAGAGAAAGAGAGAAAGAAAATTTAGTGAGAGAAAGAGGTTCAATGATTGAGGATTTAAGGAGGTGGATTAATGTAATGATATTCCACATAGGTTTGGCACTTTATGATTGGTTTGCCAGCTAAGCATGGTGATATTGTGATTCTTTCTTACCCAAGATGTGCTGTTTGGATTTCTTTCTTCTTATAATAATTTTATTTATATTATTCCCTAACATACTTGTTGAGTTGTTATTGGAATACTAGTATTATTTTGCATTCTCACTTTTAACTTTTTTGGTTCTTTTATAATTCTCTTGTTTCTATTATAAAAATTATTAAATTTATTTAATAATTATTCAATTCAACTATTAGAGATTAAATATATTGATTATTCATAAAATAAAATATATATTTTATAAGTTGAAATATTAATGAATCATTAGCTTTAATTTTTCATTCTAAAAAAAATTATTCTTTCTTTTTAAAAAAAAATTATTTTCAATGTCAAGAATAATTTTTAGGAATAAAATAGTATCTAAAGAATTAATGTATTCAATCTTAATTTTTTAAATTTATTTTTCAATGTTAGGAATAATTTTAAGAACAAATAGTATCTAAAGAATTAATGTATCTGAACTTAATTTTTAATTAGATACATCAACTTTTCATATAGCAGTTTTGGTTATATTTTATTTTTAATGGAGTAATTCATAATTTCTTTTTTTGCATGTAGAATTTATTATAATTTCTTTTTTAATAGTGTGAAAGTGTAAAATTTATTTATTTATAATAAAAAATGAATGTATGATTCAATTTCCTCTCTTCTTTTTAAATTATATTATGTTTTGATCATTTCATTTTTAAAAAAAAATATAATTAATTTTGTACGACAAATAAAAAATATTAAATGATTTACAAATTTATCCTTTATTAATAATATATAGAAGAAAAATATAAATATATATGTCCGATCTATTGGACCAGGTCATCAATTATGGATCAGATTATAATTAGAGTTAACAGAATTTATTTTAAATTATAACTCGCTCAATAGAACAAGATAAGACCGGGATAAATGATGGACCACACCAATCGTATTGACACAACTAATACGGAAGAAATATTCAAATTAACATACGAAGGATAACACATTTGTAACTAATTGTTTCCATTATCCGTCCATAAAATTCTATTCCAATCACCAATAACATATGATTTCAATTACCATTAAGAGATCACACTAATCATAAACAATAATCTTAAATGGTTCTTAATAAGTCTTGAATTCGAAATAGATCAGAGCTACTATTTAAAGAGATGATCATAAAAAAAAGATATACACAATTTACATAACACTCAACTACGATTTATTTATTAGTGCTCACTAATAGAGTTATCACTTGTGTATTTTTACAAGTACATTAAAGAAGTGTAAATAATAAATATTGAATTATATGATAGAAAAACGAATATAAATTATAATTAAAATTATAAAATAATTTATAATTTATAACAATTTTCTTATAAATAAACTTATAATTTGGAATCGAAATAGTATAGAATTTTCATAATATTGAGATAAGTAGTTTTATTTTTAGATTTAGGTTTGGCTACATACTTTAATTATTATGGATATAATTTTAGATTTAAGTTCTGCTAATTTTCAATGAAGGTTTTTTTCCACCACCAGTATTCAGTCTATTGAACCGATTAATTCAGTTCAAATGTAAGTGGTTTCAACTTTCTCCTAATCGCAGTTTTAACATCAAGTGAGAAAGGAATTTTAGAAAGTCAACTCAAACATTTTTTTTAAAAGTCTCATTAATTAATAATCACTTAAATAACCTAAAAAATATATGAAACAAACGGAATTTTTTTGTAATTCATTAGCAATTGAGACTAAAGTTTGCAAGTTAGATAAATCAATGTATGATATATTATCAGGGGTGGAAATAAGTTGTATTAAGCTATGTTTTATCAAGTCTAAGTCTGTCCGGGAAAAAAAAACTCAACAGCTGCTAAATTACACGAAACTAGTAAGAAAAGATTTGAAAACACTAAAGTAAAGGTGGCGATAACTGATAACGACTAGTTTCTACTGTTCATTCTGTTTCTTCTTCTTTCGAAGCCTTCTTTCGCCTTCTTCCATGGAAGCCTCTTTTCTATTTTCGGAAACCTCTTCGTCTCCCTTGGTGGTTCTGGTCCCTGTGGAGAAGCCAATCTCTCAAGCTGTAATCTTTTGCAGTTGCTGTTTAAAACAATGTTTGGGAAATTCATTATAGTCAACTCCTCATTCCTTGTCTGACGGGGGATAGACTTGCTATTACTATTCCGGAAGAGGAGTATACTATAGGCGTGAAGGCATGTAAGCATCATCTCCATGGGCATGTTATTTGGTCGAAGGGTTCTTCATTGTTAATAGTGGTTAATTTGAAAAACAAGCTTTTGGAATTGTGGCCTCCGCTCGATAAATGGGGGATAACCCCATTGGAAAATGGGTTTTTTGAATTTTCTTTTTCGTCGTTGGAAGATGTGCAACGTGTTCGATCAGTTAACGCTTGGAATCTTTCTCAGGGTGTTCTTAAGCTTTTTCCTTGGACAAATGATTTTGTTCCAGCCACTCTTAAAACATACTTCTGCTCAGGTTTGGATAAGAATCCATGGATTGTCCCAAGAATATTGGCGTCCCCAGATTTTTTTTGCCATTGCTAGTAGTGTTGGGACCCCTATTTGCATTGATTTGGCCTTAAACAAATCTTCTTTCGAAAGGCCATTTGGGCATTTTGTGAGGGTTTTGGTGGATTTGGATGTAACTAAAGAATTCAACTACAAGATTTTAATGGAAAGGGTGGATTTTACGTTCTTTGTTGACATCGAATATGAAAAAGTCCCATATTTTTGTACTTTCTGCTCTTGCATTGGGCATTCAATTACGAATTGTAAAAGAAAAGACCATATACAAGGGAAGGATATGGATGGAGGTACAAAACCTAAGAAACCAAAGTCGGTTCTTGTGGATAAGAATAATGCTTTTGACGAGCAGCCAGTTCAGCTGGCTGCGGAAACATCACCTCTTCTGGAGATTGTTGATGCTAATATTCCGGTTAAGAACTTAGGGACAACAAATGTGCAAAACACTGCTGCTAGAGAGAGTGAACTTGGAAGTGATGACAACAATATTGATGTGGTCCCTCGTGGAAGACTTCAGGGTAGTAATCGAATTTTTGAGTGTATTATTGCTACTCAAGTGGAGGAAGTGGTTCCTGAAACACAATTAGGGAAAAGTCACAAAAACAAGTCAGGGATTTCCTTCATAAATCTTGGGCTAATATATCTTAATTAGATAAAAATGATTATGATATTGCTTTTTTTGCTGATAAAAATTTTCAACTGATTACCTCTAACAAAAAAAAATTAAACAAAAAAGCAATTTCTTAAAAAAATTAACATATTACAAACATCCTTATATTTTCTTCAATAACTTAAAAAACAATTTTTTAAAATATTATTTCAACATACCTTTTTTGGAAATTATTATGTAACCTCTTTTTTAATTTATTACTATAATGTCTTTTAATTATTTTTGCAGAAAGGAAAGTCTCTAAAAATTATGGCCGGCTATATATTAAAAGTTTTTAGTAATTAGTTTTAAACATTCATACGGTTAAATAGTTTTTATGTAGTAAAAATATAATTAAATTAATTAATTTGTATAGGATAAAATATTGAACATTTAAGAATTAACATGAGAATAAAATAAATTAATATGATAGATATAAAAATGTTGGGGTAGATGTATGATAAAAAAGATTGATCAAATTGAAAGAAAAAAAAAGACAAATAAGTAGAGGATGGGAAAGATCTAGAAAAATAATAAGATAAATTATTAAAAAATATTTTGAAACTAATGATTTAAATAGAAACATAATACTTAGTAGAACATTGTGAAAAAATTAATCATGTAGCCGATTTTATTACTGGAATAAGGTTTAATTGTTATTGTATTAGTTAATATTATAATCTTTATAAGTATGAGGAACATTAAATTTTGACTAATTCTTACGTAGATAAATATTCTTTTCATTTAAACATAATAAAATTTATAAATATTCAATAAAAAATAAATTTATTATTCTTTTAAGAAATTTATTTTTATCACTAATATTATCAAGAAATGGTATTTTTCGTATGAGTATTATTTAAACCCGTTTTAAAATGCAGCACTTTTTTTCAAGTAACAATTAGCATGAATATACTGCTTGATCATTAACTAACGTATATTTATTTATGAAGCAATG